TCACTGAGTATAACTACATTGAAGAACACCAGAACTTCCTGAAAGCTACGTGGAAAGAAGTCTGTGTTAACGTCTTCGGCAAGAATAGACAAAACAAAAAGATGACTCTCTGCAGAGAAACTGAAGTTCGTAGGTGATATAAAGGTGATGAAGTATGATCTAAACTGGTGCAGAGGTGAACAGCGAAAGGAGAATATGAGTACAACCTGTAACTTATTCAGCATAAAGTCAAGGAGAGTCTAGATAAACGCAAAATAGCATTTAACGCCATAATAGCAACCGAAACAGAACAAGCTGCAGGTAAGATAGACATCATAACCAGGTTGACAACCAGGGAGACACCAACGCAGTCGAAACCGATAAAAGATAATGAAGGGAGCCTATATACCAGAGACCGAAAACCTGGTTGATCATTTCAAACGGCTAAGAAAAGACTTTGATGTGAAGACAGCAGTAAGACAGACCTACCTACAACCACCGGTCATCTTCTTTTTCGGGTGGACTGGATCATGCGACAGACAGTAGTGGGTTAGAAGACAGAAATACGGTGAACCGACAAGAAGAATCTAGGAGATCTCAAACTTCACGGATGAATTATGTCACACAAACTGGAAGATCCACAGACGAAAACTGACAAGTTGGGAGAAGAGGCAGGCATGTAGACAGGCAGTCAGAGAAGACGCGATTTCAATTGAACATGGATAAGACTGAGGTGAAGGAGATATCTGACCATCACCACCACCACCACCGACAACAACAACAATAACAACAACCAAAACAGCAAGCACCAATCATCATGAATGGCATGAATCTGAAGGAAGTCACTTCTCTCACTTATCTAAGCAGCATTGTTTCACCTTCAGGTGGGAACACAGATGAGTATGTTGAAGACATTCAGGATCGGAGAAGGAAGACAGACAATCATTACTGTGAAATCAGTGTGTAGATCTACGGCACTCAGCACAACAATCATCATCCGAATTTCCAACACTGATGTCAAGTCAGCGATTGCATTCATGTGGTTGAGTGACTTGGTGTGCCAGTAACCAACAGCATTTGAGACACCTTGCTGGCGATTTCCATCAACACTTAGGTTTACTGTCTGATCAGTGAAGATCAGGTGGCTCCCTGGGAATGGTAATCGTCAAGGATTTGTGACGGTCAGCGAGTCAACCGACGACCTATGTTTGGCGCAACAAATAAATCTACATGATAAAATGGAGGTGAGTGGATTGAACATGCGCTGAGGAGACCATTGAGTGATGTGATGTGCGAGGCTGTAGTTTGGAATTGATGGATTGTAAATGACGAGTTTGGCATTTGAGGAGGAAATGAGGGCTTGCGTACAATCAGGAGCTCAGTTGAATACGGCTGCGTCGAATGGATTGTGCTGTGGGTTTGCTTTCGAAGTCCTATTATTCACGCCTGAGCGAAAAGAATAATAATCGCTCCGAAGCGACATTGAGTGTCTATAATAGTTTTTGGCTGTAGCTGTTTCTTCACATTTATTTCTCAAGGTGACATAAATGTAGTGCTTATGAAGAGAGCATCAATACTTTTACTGCATACTTAGTAATTTCACATCTAAGTTTTTTTCTTATTCTTTTGCGTTCCGAATGGAGCAGATGGCTTTAAGCTTGCGTTCTGACGTCTCAGTATTGTTGGCATTTCTTTCAGGGTGTGGTTGCTGACCTCACGCCCAACCTCCCGTCTTTGTCGTGCTTACAACCGGTTAAGTTAGGTGCAGGTGTTCGCCAGCCAGGAATTCAACCTCGGGCCCATTGTTTGTTAGGTGAGCTTTTTACCAGTGTAACATCGTTGTACACTTTACTTAGATGCATAGCAAAAGCCTTAGGTCTACATAAACCGGCACTAATCTATTATATTTTACACTGATCACTAGAATTTAAACAAGAAACGGACCAGGTTTTCGAAAAATAACATTAGAGATTCTTTACTTTCCTGAGGCATTTACTGAATGCACTTTCTGTGTCTTTCGGACTGTCTTATGTCTATGACTGAGAGCGTGCCTCGTCTCAAACTACTCATATATTTCAGAGTCTGGGTTTTGAGTCTGTTAAGGTGGGTCTTGTGTTATGGTCACAGCATAAATTAGACTTAAAGTCGCAGAAAAATGACGGGTGAAAATCAAAAACAGCAGTGGAAATATTTCATGACTTTCAAAATAAATAAGTTATGCAAGTGAATCAGGAGAACATTCGGTAAAAGAAAACCTCATACTCAATCGAACCAGTTGTAAAGAATTCGATATACAGTAATAATTAACTGTTTAGTTCGATGTGGCTGAAACTTTTATAGAACAGAAATATACTGAGCTTATTTCGCAGTGGTGTCTGTCCATTTCACCGAAAGTTTTAATACCATTTCCAAATGTTTATCCCAATCTTAGATTTTTGTATACGATTGTATTTTGAAATATATCATAAAAAATCAGACATACGATGTAAACTGCGACCGTCAGCAGCAATAATTTGTATTGTTCATGTGTTGATGATGCTACTCTCGTGATACAGAGGTTGTTAATAAATTTTAAATACGCTAAAGCTAAATAAATTCAATTGAATTTTAGATTTTCCCGTCGATTGATTGGACCGAAGTGCTCGGTCTCAGGTTGACATGTCGGCTTCTTGTGCAGATACTTCGACGATGTCTGGGCATTTAATTAGAATTTAATTTGTGGATGGTGACTAGCAGTGGAATCCAGGATGCGCATTTCGTCCTATTTGGGACTCGTCACTGGATGTACCTGCATTTCCCAGTGAGTGATGATGTTCCCACCGAGGCTAGAACCCAGTGCCCGACTGGAAAATCTAAAATTAAATTGAATAATTAATATGACCCGTTGCACGAGAGGTGGCTCTCGTGGCCCAAGTGGTCTAGTGGATAACGCTTTGGCGTTTGAAACTATGGGCACTGGGTTCAAGCCTTGGTGGGAACATCATCACTCACTGGGAAATGCAGGTGCATCCAGATGATGAGTCCCAAATGGGACGAAATGCGCATCCTGGATTCCACTGCTAGTCACCATCCACAAATTAAATTCTAAATAAATTCATCCTTGGTTTTGACAAAACAGTAAGAAGACGTGATTTATCTGAAATGCGTAATGTATTTCCGCAGCACATTTTACAACATTCTGGTCACACACATAATTGTCACACATATTTATTTTCAAGAATTAGTTTGCAGGAATCCTATTTGTTTCAGGTAAGACCACGGATTGATATAAGTCAGAGAACCACTGAAAACCAGGGAGTACTGAGCAGCTGTTTCGTCCTAGTTTGAGACTCACCGGGAGTACACACCGACCCCACTGGGGTTCAAATCCAGGATCGTGCGGTTACAAGGCGAGCTGTTATACCGTTCAGCCACTGGAACCCGATTAAATGTCTCATTAATTCGAACTTCTAACAATTCGTGATTTTAGCGCGATCACCAACCAATAAAACTGGCGGGAACTCCATCCTCACTCCCGACTGGATGGCCCTCACTGGTCACGACTTCTCACTAGAACTCCAGGTAACTTCGTCCTGTAGTCAGTCACCATAATTGTCATATATATTTATGTAAAAGGTGACAGAGCATACAGAATCTCGGGTTGTATCTATGTAGGTCACAATTTTTACGGGTCACCATCACAGATAAAGGGGTAGGAAAATGAGGTAAGAATAAAACATACTGTTATGTAAAATGAACTTTCGTTCTAAAATTGGATTACCAAGGCAGGTTCAAAGTAATGACAAATAATTTTTGAACACTTAAAACAGATTTAAGCCTGTTTATTTCTAAGGCTTCAAGGAATTTAAGCTTATGACAAAAAAGTGTTTTAAAAACAGTACTGAAGCCGATTTTAAGACCTGTCTCCTATGTTTCTTTGTGCATTTTTATGGGAATAACTAATCATGTGGATGGATTCATACCCTTTTCCTTACGTACTATAGTTCGGCATTCATTTTCATAATCATGTAAAATGCACTCCCACCTAGTGTACAAAAACGCCTATCTGATTTGCAGACTTCACTGAGTGATGTGAATGAATTTCACTTAATCTCAGCAACAAGTACTTCGTTATTTTGTTGTACAAATTCCCTGCTATACTGCATGTTATTACAACAATTTGACCACTGACTGTTGGATTAAAACTTTTTGATATTTGATTTAGTAGCTGTAGGTAATATCACAATAGCGATTTATTTCTGCATGTTTATTTTCGGGGAACTGATTTTTGATCTTCAGAATTTATTATTTTATGTTTTGCATATTTGCATATGGGTACAATTTAGTTTAATTAACTTTAGTCAAAGAGGGTCCTATTTGTGAGATGAATAACTTGATTATTCACTCTAACTTCGATTTCTTTCTCAGCAATTCTTCTTTCTCAGATGAAAAAACTAGTCTTGTAATAATATACGCCCCACAGGTAACACAGATACCTTTGGGAAACTTAACCATCAATTTCACTCCTTTCCCTAATGAAAAGTGACAAAAGTCTTCAATAAAGACTAACGAAATGTGGAGGTTTCGAATGATGATAGGCATCAGCCTGAATATCTTTAGAGAATCATGGAGATCTATTTTGTTTCTGTTTGGAACTTTCTGATAATTTCCATCATCGACTAGACACATCGGGTTTCTGAGACAGCAAGGTGTCGTCCATTCTCTGAGCTGAAATTGCATCACCTAAGTTTTTCCGTTTCAGACAGTTCACTGTACCGTGTGGCCACTTTCAGAAATGCTTCGTGAACATTCAGCCATATGTACAAATGACTGAACACATCAGTCACCCTTTTTTCAAAGTGCTGGGAATTCTACCTCAAAACCAATACTCAAGGTGTCTTAAACTACTTATACGAAACAAGATAAAAATTAACTGTCAGACCATTATTTTCGAGACTATAAACGGCTTTATTCTCAAGATATAAAACAATTCTAATACAAAACGGATTATTTGGTTTAGTAGGAACAATGGATGTGAAATTTTAACAAAATACTATTAACTTACTGTTTTCATCAGTTTGTTTCATTCTTTTCTTGAACAGTAAGTCTTTCTGTTAAAATCAGTGAAACAAAAAGTGGAAAGAATAAATGTGAATTTAGAATCAGTAACTTTTATTCATTGTTAAATGACCAAAACAAATAATTGGAAAGCATTTGTAGTCAATATCACCTTAAACACAGTGGAATAAAGATGGAATTTTAATAGACATCATGATTTTGAAGCATTTGTTTCGACAGAAGTTGGGATTCATCAGCCAGTGGATCTTGTTCCAATGCCTGAATGGTCTACGAGCTCCCCTAATAATCTGAAGGCTCTTTGTTAGATCCCTGGTGCGGGCCACATATTGTGATATGAACTATTTTGGTTTCCAAACGAAACCATGGTGAAATTTCACCTCGAACTGTGTAGAGTGGTAACTACTAATCAATTTGCTAGTTGCAAATTTGATTTAATTTGTTGATGTCGAAGTCGGGAGTTGTCCTTGTGTAACAGCAGTCTGCTGGAAGCATTGCAGAATGTTAGAATCTGGGTTTATAATAATTCTATAAAATTTGATACGACCGTCAATTACAACCTTGCGCTAACGAACATCGTAACTAATAGGTTTGCAAGCCTACTGTCTTAATCGCTATTTGAAACGACATTCACTATAACACGATGCCACTTATATGTGAAGCAAAGAAGAAAGGAAAGAAATAGATCGTTAAGTAGGGAGCTTTCACTGTTTCGAGTCAACGGTGAAAAACATTTGACAGCTGGTCCAAATACCTGTATATATATAGGTTTGAATGACCTTGATGTAAGTGGTCTTAAAAATCCCAACCGAATTAATAATGAATAAATGATGGTTTCAAAATCTGAGGGACATAACTTCACGCAGGTGCTAGCGTCTGTCTACTATTTATGTAGAGTCCTTCTTCAATACCGTTGGTTATGTCTTTAAGGATTAATTTTGTGTGTCTAGTGAAATTTATGTGGTGTAAAAGCAGTTATTATTTTCATAGTCGCCAACAAATGACACCTTAGTTGTTGAAGAAGAAGGTCTTGTTTGGTTTAAGAATTGATCCTAAATACTATAATTCCATTAAAATTTGAAGTCTCCATATTGCATTTGACAGTTTGCTATTATTGATAATTTTGTTTTAATAATCATGAAATCACTATATCAACTCTATTTGATATGGAATTAACAGGTATGATATATTTTGAGGATAGAATAGTTTCGGGCAGTGAATTATGTTAGAAATTTGAATCTATTTTTATTTTTTTTATTTTTTTATTTTTATTTACAGCTTGATGCCACACCGTATTTTCAGTACAAGTATGGCATTTTCAGCATGGATATCGGTTGCCCAAATTCAGGCCAACCATAGATATCGGGTGTGCGCCGGCAGGGGATCGAACCCCGGACCATGTGCATGGTCGGCGAGAGTCCTAACCACTGTGCCACCGACGCACAGTTTATTGGTTTACAAAACCTTACAAATTAGTTGGTTAGAGGATTTCATCATGAGCTGACATTGGTTAGAGAACAATTGAAAAACCTGGGAGTACTGGACAGCAGTCTTGTCAGCCTGGTTTGGGACTCTTCAAATGTACGCACCCACCACATGGGTTCGAACCCAGGACCTTCTGGTTACAAGGCGAGCTCGTATACCATTAAGCCACTGGGATCCGATTCAATGGCCCATGCATTCTAACTTCTGCAAATTCACGACATAGCACAACTGCTAGCCAATGTCTTTGGTGAGTATTTTTCCTCACACCCGACCTGCTGCACCCTACCGGTCACGACTTCTCACTAGAACCCCAGGTAAAAATTAAGAAATTTATAAATATTCAAACTTCTCACTCATTTAGTTGGTTAAATGAGAATAAAAACAGACAGGTGTTGGCTTTAGAAAACTTAGTAAATAAGTTGAATGAAGATGGTTTTATTATAGATGTCACTGTCCAGTTAAAGCTACATTAAATTGTCAAATTAATGATTGTTTGAAATACTTATGAAAATAAGAACAAACAGTTCAGCGTAGACAATCTTTTCGAGCGAATTCATTCACTTAGCAGTACAATCACAATTATATATAATCATGTGCACATTCAGTCTGTCAAACACAGCGCAAGAATAAACAGCTTGGGGTATTGTATACATCATCAAAATATTTCAAAATGATGATGAATAATCAAACTGTCACTTCGTTGAAACGTTTGTTCTTATTTCCATGCCTGGATAGGTACTGTTCAGTGGTTTTATTAAGTCCTGTTTACAAATTATTTTATAGCATACATTAAAACGAAAAGAACTGGACGACAGCTAATTAAAGAGAAGTCGGTTCGAAGATCTTACATCAATTCTTCAGACTTTAGGATCAAGTTAAAAGTTGAAATATCTGTGTTAAATTTCTAGGGGGTTTGTCAATTACTCAATGATACTGGTAGACAGTTGTTAAAAAAATGAGAAAATTCAGCAGAATCTCATCTCTTTCGAGATTACTCGTTATCAGGCGCTCTTGAAATTATCATCATTGTCAACTTTTCCTATTCAGGAATGTTCATTTAAAACTAATTACAATGGCAAAATGATAACTCAGGCATTCCAAGTGATTACTTGCGTGTACTATGATATGAACCTCAATTACTTAGTTCCAGTTCACGTAAATACTTCCACGTGTATTTTCTTGGGAAGGTTTCATTATCTAATATTTTCTAATTTATTCGTAGTGTCGGACTGACATCCTCTTATATAATCGCAAATATATGTTAAGTGAAATACTATTTTGTATCAATTTTAACTAACTTTTTCAAGTATGACCACTCTTATATTATTTTAATACCTCATTTTAAAGCGTCTAGATTAACATATTGTGTACTAATTGACTCGTTTATTGTAAAAAATGTTACTGATTTCTTTTAAGTGCTGATTGAATTTAGAATCCACTGGTCATTGAATTTTAAACTAACACGTGAATAGTGAGTGTGATCTCAACGTAAAATGAAAATCCCAGGTTTGGTCGGGTAGTGGGTGCACATTACTGAAGAGCCCTTCGACTAAGAAGAGATAACTGATCACTACTCTCTGGTTTTTAGTAGTTCTCTAACAAATATCACTTTCTGGCGAAGCCTATTTTCCAAACAAGTAATATAAAAGAGGACGTCTAAAATTCAGATAGATGAATCCAGTTTAAAAAGGATCAAATCATAGCAATAGACCGGTCAAAAAACGAGGTCTAATCATGTGTAAAATGTGTTATAAGGTTAGGAGACAATTCTGTATGAATACTCATGAAAAGTATATCTACTTATCTTCCTCATGAAGTAAAGACGAAAAGACTGTCATTGAGTTGCTTGGTAAAAAACTCAAGTTCAAATAATTACAATGTGGTAAATTTCATAAACTAATTCCCTAATAAATTTGAACGAAGCGATAACAGTACTTGGTGCAGAATAAAAGACATTCATTGTTTACTTTGTCGGTATCTTGTCAACTGCATTCAATCTAAACAATTAAGTTTAGTAGCTATATTACTGTTTTAGCATAGGTCACTTCATCTGATTTGAAATGTGGGAGAGCAATTGCAAATGATCGAGATGTGTAAATGAATCCTAGTGTTAAGTTTATAAGATATAAAATATTGCTTTCTCTGATAAACAAAAGTGGGGAGTAAGGGTCTAAGCCGGTGACACAGCGGTAGAATGCTCGCCAACCACGCAGGTGGTTTGGCGTTCAATCCCCGGCCAACGCACTCCTTCACCTCGCTAAGCCAGTAATAAGACTGGTAAAGAGAGAAGGTTGGGTATGAAACTAGTAACCCCATCACTGCTACTTACCACTGCTACCGAAACTTCAAGCCTCTAGCTTGAAGCCCTATGTTCCACTGGGAACGTACAGGAATAAAATTTTGAAAAATGAATAATCATAAGGGTCTAAGTCATTAGAAAATTGTTAGTACAGAAATGAGATATGAAAAGTTTGTAATTTAAGCTCATACGGTTAGATATCAGACTTATGGAGCATGACTTACGTTAAATAATGATGTAACTAAGTAAGAGTGAAAAGAAATCGAAATTTACATTTAAAAGGTGATATAGTCAGTTAAGGTTAAAAAACAAGTTTCCAAGTAAGAAAAAGAAGTCAACATTTGCATCCACTAAAAGATGGTGTAATCAATAAAGGTTGAAAAACGAATTACCAAGGTAAAGAAAGACTTACCACAGCTATTTTTTGAATATTGAAGTCAAATTTTAATGGTTCGATAGCGATTATTATTATATTATTGTTTCCTTTAGTTCCTAGAGGAACATAGGGCTTCAGCCACACGTCTCTATTGCGCTCGATTATCCACCAACATTTTCACCTGACTCCACGTCTGCCCACATGCTTTCATTTTCTCTTAGCATCACCTCCTCCATGTCAGCCTCACACTCACAACCAACTCGCCGCTTCCCATTCGGGTTCCACTCGAGTGATGGCCTGACGTGTGATGTCACTTGATGTTTGCTTTCTCAGAGTATGGCCAATCCACCTCCATTTCTTCCTGCACACGTTCCTGTTGCACAGTTGGTCTCTGGTTGGTTCGCTCACAGAGATCGGTCCCTGTTGTTGATCTTTTCTGGCCGGCCATCTGATCTTGACTAGTATTGAGCGAAGACAGCTGTTGATGAAGGTCTATAGTTTGTTCGAAGTGCCCTTCATGACGCGACGCCAAGTCTCTGATCCGTGTAGCGAGTAGCACTTCATGCTGAAGAGTACTGTTGATCTCCACACAGACTTGAGAGTAATGAAAGCTTTCCTTGCTTTCCTGATCCTCGCGCTTTGATATCCTCATCAGTTCTTTCCTCCTGTAGTTGAAACGATGCTTCCCAGATAGGTAGGTAGGTAAAGGAAGTTGCTTCTTTCAGTTTCTCCCATTTATGCTGATTATTGTCTGTCGTTGTTGTTGCTGTTGCTGTTGGCCAGGAATCTTCATCACCTCTGTTTTCTCTATGTTCACCTGAAAGAAGTCCTATCTTTGATGCTTCTTCTGCCAACTTGTTGCTTTTCACTTGCAT